CCCTAAACCCTAAACCCGCATGCCTAGTTCCAATGTTTTCACGCCGACTGTCGAACATGGATCCTCGCCTGGCTTGTCCGAGTTGTGAGAGTGTAAACCCTGAACCCTAAACCGTGTGGGGAGCCCGACAAGGTGTCGAGAGAGGCTCAGTCACTGCGGAGGCAGGTCGGTGTTTGAAGCGTTGGATGAGGGCTTCGATTCAAGAAACGTAGTTCCTCAATACCCTACCTTTAAAACTTTTTGGGTTCTGATAATTTAGTAGAAATCTGAAAGTTTAACCTTTATTTCCCTGGTTTATTGGGGAAGTATGGAAAAGGAGGAGTCTTCCAAAGGTTTTTGAAACTAGGGGCCCCTTTAGCGGGTGTGTGTAGGATCTGATACGGCGTTTTGGTTTTACTTCGGGCTTTACATATCCAGCAGTCTAGTGTTGAGCACAGCCATCTTTCCGTCCTAAACTTAATCAGTACGGATGCAAAAAAAAGGCAGTGGGCCCCTTTAGAGCCGTGGCTGATGATCCTGTTCCCGAAACCCTAAACCCGAAACCCTAAATGTTGCGAGGCTCCCAGCGGAGACTGAGGCTTCATAGTTCGGAGTGTTCGCGGCCTTTATTTAGGGTTTGGGGGGTTTAGGGTTTAGGGTTTAGGGTTTAGGGTTTTGGGGGGTTTAGGGTGTTCGTTTCTTGACGGCTCAGGGTCGGAGGTGAGTTTGTGGTTTGAGGTTCGGCGTTGTGCTTTCAGGTAGACTGGGGGGTGCCAGTAGGTCTAGGATTCAGGGTTTAGGGTTTAGGATTTAGGGTTTAGGGTTTAGGGTGGAGTCAGAGCTGCCATGGTTTATTGGCTTTCCATTACATCGGGTTTCGAATTTCCATATTGGCAAAGCCCTGTCGAAGCCGATTGTTGCCCGAAGAGGTTGGCCCCCGAATCGCGATGAAAAGCCCCAGAACACTCCAGACTCAAAGCCCAAGTCCGTCAATGTAGGGGCCCAAATAAGTACCAATACCATTTTGTGGGTTCCTTATCATAATTATAGTATAATGGGCCCCAAAACCCTCTTCTAATAAGGCCCCTATATTAGGTGTGTGTGTATATATATATATATAGTCTAGACAGCGCTGTCATTCAGGTGGGGTGTCGCAGAACTCAAGCAGGACATTTTCCTGAAGCTTCATGTCAAGCCCTAATCCCAGTAGCTCCAAACCCTTAGACCCCAATACCTCGCCTGGATTGTCCGAGCGTGAGTGCCGAAACCGTATCCGTCAGGACCATGTTGCGTTCGTCTATGGGGCCCGGCACACAACGAAATCAGGTTAGGTTGTCAGCACATGTGGTTTTGGGGTATAGCAGCCGTTTTGGACTTTGAGGAGTTTTGGGCATGCATCAAGCCTTTACTCCAGAAATGGCGCTCCAACTCCTATGAACTAGACTTTCGAACTCCTCCATACCCTGAGAACATAAGGGGCTCCTTTGAATCCTAGATCGACACGAAAAATTCGGGATCCTCAGCTAGTGCGAAACTGAGCTTCAGGGCTTGAGGGGCTTAGGGACACAACCTCGACATAAAACGGTTTAGGGTTTAGGGTCTCGAACCTGCAAATTCTGCAAAAGCCGTTCTGAGACGAGGGCAGCAGCGGCGCAAGTGTGAAGCCTAAACGCTCACCTTACTTGCTACCAAACCGAATGCCCATACCCGGCCGAAAACCCTGGATTCCAAAATCCGAGCCGCTAGTGGGTTTGAACTCCTGCACCGTAGACCCCCAGGCCTACAAGAAACTCCGACCGATATCTCCCAGACAAGGATTGTAAGTTCAAGAGCCTAAGCGCTCATGTTGAACACAGCAACATCCATAGTAGTGACAATAACACCAGTAGGCATTTTCAGGGCATTGATCATTTTCTGGGCCCAAGGTCATCGAGGGCGCCACCGCGCTTCCGACCTTTGACCAGCGTCCCCCTGAAGTCTACTGCCGCTTGGATTAGGATTTAGGGTTCGGTGTTTAATTTAGGGTTGGTTGGGATTTGTGGCCCAGGTGTTAAGGTTCAAAGCCTACTTGCAGCCTGTAGCCCCAAACCATCCCAAACCCAACAAAATACAGTAGTAGGTTACGCCCCTGTAAAGACGGGCATATATATGACCCGTGTGAGTTGCCCTGAACATGGCATGAATCCATCACTCGAAGCTCAAGCCTAACGTAGAAGCTTGAATAACGACCAATCTTGTTATTCCTATCTGGTTCCTTGTCTTGGATTCCATCTTTGTAGCTGTTCAACTATGTTGGCCCTCTGTTGAGGCAGGCTTGTTTCGGACGCAGCCATTGACTAAATCTTCGGACTTAAACAACATCGGACAGCATTACAGCCACCCTTTTCAACAACTTCGCCAGGTTGTCTCAGTAACAAACACCTTTGCCACCGGCGGGTGAAATGTTTGATCAAGTGGACGCACGTGGACAGTGTTCAGTATTGTAAATTTGCAGCGTCCGGTGAGCATTGGCTTAGACTCTCGATTTCTGCTCACTTCCTTGGCTTATGATAATATTTTCCCAGGCCATGCAGACATCTGTACCCTATGACATAGTTCAATCTGTTCAATGCTTCGTAAGAAGTGCAGCAAATAGCAGAACTTCCTAGCAGTGTCATTGACTGACAGGCAGGTGTACTTAAAGGCCAAAACCTGAACAAGAACCCTATAACACGCTGATAAAGAAAAACGTATAGACGTACTCGAAAGGCTGTGCAGAGCTCCGCAAACAGCCAAGCTAAGTTCTTGTTCTAGGATCCTTAAGCCAAAATCTTAAACCCTCAAAACCCAAACAATTTTGGGGCTGAGGTTTGGTTTGCGGGACCAGGGGGTGGAGTACGGGGTATACAGTTCTATTCGAAGTCTCTGCGCTACATGCCCAAACCAGGCCCTTTCATCTTCAAACCCTGAACAGGGTTTAGGGTTTAGGGTTTAGGGTTTAGGGTTTAGGGTTTAGGGTTTTAGGAACCCTATGTCCGTAGCCAGACAAGCGTGCTGTAGCAGCCTAATGCAGGCTGATCAACTACATCGTGAAATCGTAGCGATTGCTAGATAGTTGTCCAGTTGCGTCCGAGGCATCTCGTCTTCAATACCTTCTATCTAGGCCTTGATGTAGTTCCTCTCTGCTTATATGATTATGATGACCATCATCGTAGCGACATTTCTCCGACCCGTAGCTAGATTAGTCCTGGGAACATGCTGAGTCTCACCGCGCACTCCACGTAAGCTTTGCCCCCTTCGCCTCGCCCGGATTGTCCGGGTTGTGAGAGCTGAAACCCTACATCCGAGTGCCAGCGCAGAAAAATCGAAAACCCTAAACCCTAAACCCTATTTTCGAAAGCTTCAACTGCGACTCCCTGGCCGGATGTCTCCTGGCTGGGTTCCCCTTGAAGGAGGAAATTGCTACCGGTTGCTTCTCTCTCGTTTGGCGAAAATTGTGTTTCCGGCTGTAATTAAGAAGTCGACTGGGGTTTCTGGCTTATTGACGATATCTGCAAACCTTGCCTGGACATGTCCGAGTGCAAAGAGTGAAAACTCCAGTCGCCACAGGTGTGGTCCACGTCATCTCCACGACGGCGGCCAAAATTTTCGTGCATCGCACACGTGCTGCTGGGAACGAATGCTTCGAAAACACCCAAACATCCTAGGGGTTCAGGGCAAGGGCTACAGGTTTAAAGGGTTCAGGGTTGCGGTTACGAGGGTGTTCAACTGGATTGGTATTGAACTTCTACTTCAGGAACAGCACCTGAATCTGGTTTGATTTCCATCCCAGGAAATATGCCACAGGGGATGTTGGAGAATGCTATTGTCGTTGTCGGTTTTTTTTTTCCGGTTCAGGTTGTTCATTCGCCTTTGCGTTTCCCCATGTCTACACGATTTAGTCTAAGACACGGTGCCCCAGGTGGCTCGATTTAGGGTTTGGGATTCAGGGTGCTCAGCCAACAAGCCACTCCTCAACTCCCGACACAAGATCTTGAGAAGAAGCTCTCAGCCCGCAAAAACCTGCTGAGGGCCTTTCCTCCGGAAACGTTGCAATTCTATAGGCGCTACTTAAGCTCCCGAACCCCCCCCCCCCTTCCCAACCAAACCGAAGGCTGTTAATGTGAAGAACCCCCAAGGTACTTTCCATAGAGCCGAGATGCCCCCCAATAATAAAGGGTACCTGAGTTTATATACTAGGGGTGTAGTTGAGGGTTACGGCTAAAGTAAACCCTAAACCCTAAACCCTAAACCCTAAGACCCTGCAGCCTAAACCCTAAACCCTAAACCCTAAACCCTAAACCCTAAGACCCTACAGCCTAAACCCGGAGCTCCAAGCCCAAAGAACGCCTCGGCCGGGCTTAAAGCTGACATCCTAAATCCGAATCCTCAAAGGTTTAGGGTTTTGGGTTTAGGGTGTGGGGGTTTAGGGTTTAGGGTTTTGGGTTTTGGGTTTTGAGTTTTGGGTGTAGGGGTTTAGGGTTTAGGGTTTAGGGTCCTAAGAAAAGTCACTAAGCTAACGCCCCTAAGTAGCCACCAAGAGCTTCCTTTTATTAGAGCTGTAGAACGCCGAGGAGGGTAAGAGGGTTCAACGCTCAGAGTCGAAGGTTTATTTTGGGGTTAGAAGGGGCGTGACTTATATGGGAGTTTCCGAAAACAAGGGGTACCTTTTTGGGGTTGCTTATAATAAGGATCCTACTATTAGGGTACTGTATTAGGGTCCCCTATTTTCTGAAACCCCATATGGGCTGTTGAACAACTACCAACGCTCTGCATTCCTTGGGGTTCCGCGCTGTACTAAACTCCTGGCCCAAAACCCTATTCTATTCTGTACTACTAGATGTAGGATCTTGAACCGCATCGCTAGGTTACTTGCGGCAGAGCTTAGAATCTACGTGGCTTAGGCAACAAAATCGAGGAATCGAGTTGTGCAGCATCCTTCCTAGACTCTGACTTGCAACCTTGATCATTGTAATCACAAAGCCTAGCAACTCAGCACCGAGGCTATCAAGCAGATGACATGTCCGCAGTGGAACGAGGCATTCTACGCCGAGCTGCCCGAGGTGGCTGACTCTAAACGAGAAGGGCGTCATCTACAGAAATAAAGAAAAAGCAGGCAGACACAGGTGCTGTTGACTGCGCCCTGAACGCTGTGTAGTCGTGGCAAGAGGATGTTGCTGATGGTGGCCGTGGTGGCGAGGGTGACGACTACAGCAGTAGTACTCGTAGCAGCTTTATACTTTTGCTTCTAAACTACCCTAAACCCTAAACCCCTAAACCCTAAACCCTAAACCCTAAACCCCTAAACCCTAAACCCTAAACCCTAAACTCTAAACCGTGATTCTAAACCTTAAGCTGAAGGCATAGGCCTCCCAGTATGTAAGCCCTCAAAAAAAGTAGGCGCTTTGGGGTTGAGGTAAACCCTGAACCCGGCCCCCGACTTCGAAATCTCAAGGCTTCGGGGTTGGATGCGGTTGGGCTATTTTTAGGTGCTCGGCTCGGAGTTCAGATAATTGGTGTTCCGACCTCTGCATGACATGCGCCATGAAGAGCTCGTCTCCTCCACAGAAGCAGGTTGGGCATAAGTTTAGTAGTGTTTAGGGTAATAGGTCCTTAACCTTAGGGACCCAAAAAACACAAAAGCATAGGCATTTTGTAGGGATATCCCTACCTTACTGGGCTTCATTATAAGGGGGTTATGTGGGATATCCCTATCCATTTTGTTGCTTATGTGCCTTTTGGGGGCCCTAAATAGGTCTACGATGGTCTACTTTGTTTGGGGTCTGCGGTTGAAGGTGGTTATCATATTTTTTTGCTTATGTGCCTGTTGGGGCCCTAGAACCTGCCAGGGATTCGACGCTGCCCGGCTCCAGCTCAGCGTCTACGCCATCACGGCACTCCAGCTGCAAACGCAATAGGGGTTTAGGGCTTATAAGGGTTTAGGGTTTAGGGTTTAGGGCCACTTAGGAGGCACTTCAGAGAGACCTCGTTCAAAAGGGCAACAGTGGCCGCCTTCGGTGATTGCTTCGACACATCTTCAGCATCGTAGCCATTTGGGCGCCCTTCTGTTACTTATCGGAATCCGGCCGAAACCCTAAACCCAAAACCCTAAACCCTAAACCCGGCCGTAGTGGTTCTCAGCAGTTGCACGTATGTTGCTTTCACTCGGGGCCTGGCAAGGACGCGATATCTCATTTGCAGAGGTCCCGCAGTCACTTCCTCTGCCCCGAAGGGCGCATGTAGAGTTCATGTTGAGATTCGATGCATTGACTCCTGAGACCGAGAGTGGCTTTAAAAGAGCCGAAGAAGAAACGGAGACTGGCGCTAACTCTTTGCCAGCTTGCTGAGGTAAACTCTAGCCTCTACCCAGGCCCCATAAAATTAGCGAAAGCTCGTCCCCCCCTCAACCCTAGACCCAACGAGTCGCAAGCTCTCACCCGTTCTCACCCTGCAAGGCTGGAACCGGCTTTTCCAAACTTGCCAACAATGCAACTTCCAACCTCTTCAAAGCTGTGGGTGGCCGCTCGGCTCCCCTCAATAGGTGGAAGAGCACTATTAAGGGTCTGAAGAATTACTTTCGGACTTCTGGGCTTTTGGATCTCATACGTTCGACTCATGGAAGAATGCAAGTTGTAACTACACTACTAAACCATGGGTTTAGGGCTTAGGTTTGGGGGTTTCAGTAGTGCTACAGCTTGGCGCGATGATACTGTGTGCTGCCACTTCCCCGGCAGACTACTTGGGACGCCTGTAGTACAGAAAAGTTACCTCTAGCCTTGGTGGGGTCCTCCCATTCCGTTGACATCCCAAGGGTTAACCTTCAGCTCGAGTAAGTACTGGAGGCATTAGCGACAAAATGCCTTTATGAGGACGAAGAACAACAGCAAGATTAGTCGTGACCGTCAGTGACCGTCACATCCTTGCCACGATCAAGTAGGTGCACGGAGAAGCAATCGTGCCTTTAGGCTCAGCGATTTGGGATTCAGGGCGTGCGAGAAATCACGCAGTGCTGCTTCCCAGCTGATGAGCAGAGTCTGGGTTCAAGAAAAGGGCGATGTTGGGTTCAGGATTCTTCCGAGGAGCCTTCACAGCGCGTGCTCTTACTAGAGGTGTCTAAATACATGTTTGTGTGCCCATGATTCTGTTTTAGTTGTAGTAAGATGTGGGTGGTTGTCAAAATTATGGTCCCTTTCTGGGTCCTTATTATAATACGGCACCTATTATTTAGGGTACCCCAAAAGGGACCATAATTTTGACAACTACCCATGTATCTCCAAGACTTAGTTGGGCTTCACCTGACGACTGTGGGGATTCACTTGACATGAGAAACCCTAACCCTCCAGGTACCTACTATATAGGGTACTAGAGCCCCTAAGGCCCTACATAGTAGGTACCTGGGGGGTTAGGGAAAGCTCGTGTTCCGGAGGCTCACACGCAAGAGACCCCTCGTTAGACCCAATTGCGCGAGGTGCCACAGGCTCCGAAGAGATCATGGAGGCTGAGCCGACGAACTACGGCTTAGGGCATTATTAAGGTTGTGGGGCTTAGGGGGGGCTGCAGATTTCGGCTCCCTGAATCGATGGAAGGTGGGTTCTACCAGGAAAGTTTGGGACTTCTATATTGCGCTGATGTGTGCTGCAGACGGTCAGAGTTCCAGTGTCGGTTTGTTGGTGTGGTGGCAACCTCTCAAGTATCGTATAGCTTGTTGTTACATTACAGAGCCATGTTGCGCGCAGCGACGTCGGGGAATTCCACTTGTGGGAATGTGCTTCGGCTGTCGCCAAGAAGCAAAACGCCCCAAGCTCTGAGCCCGAATACCCTAAACTCTTGCAAAAAGCGCCCTTAGACAAGAAGCAAACAACCTCGCGTGGCAGATGGCTGCTTCGGATGATGACTGGTTCATCGGACGTGCCCATGCCGACCTCACCACCGTCTGGAACCTGGCCAGGGAATTGGGTTTGGGTTCAGGGTTTAGGGTTGAGGGAGTGGAAAGCCTGTTACAAAAAGGGATCAGGGTTAGGGGTTGCACTTTATTTTTTAGAGATTAGGGTTTAGGGTTCAGGGATGATAGAGGGTATTGCTCAGCTACACACCCCGCCAAACCCTACTCTAACTACGAAGGCCCCTAAATTAAGGCCTAGACCCTCAGACTCCAAACAAATTCCTCTAATTACCAAGGCCCCTATATTATAAGGCCCCTATATCAAGACCCTAAACCCTAAACCCTAAATTAACCCTAAACCCCAAGCCCTCGACCTTCCGACGCCAAAAAATGCTTCAAAGCCCCCGACCCCGAGAGTCCCCTCCCGCCGCGAGCCACAAGGCGATCAGCGGGAACCTACTGGCTGAAGAGGCTGGGTAGCTTAGTTCCTCAATACCCTACCTTTAAACTTTTTGGGTTCTTATAATTTAGTAGAAATCTGAAAGTTTAACCTTTTATTTCCCTGGTTTATTGGGGAAGTATGGTAGGGCTTTTTGGTTTTAGGGCTTCTTTGGGTTAAGGGCTTCAGGGCTCTAGGTTCAGAGTCTAGGGTTGAAGTAGGCTCTGGAATTTTTTTTTAGGAATTAGAGTCATTGTTTCGAGCCAGGGTGAGGGGTTTGGATTATAGGGCTTAGTTAGGGCTATAGGTTTTAGAGTTAGGGTTTGGGGTCTCATAAATTCTGGTTGTTCACCAAGAGTTTGCTTCAGGGTCCCTTCAAGGGTCCTATCAGGATTTTAGGGTTTTAGTCCTGTAGTCCTAGCTGCGGAGCGTGGGCTGTTGCATGTTGTCTGGCCGTCATCCGCAGGGTCCGACAGGCTTCTGACGTGGGTTTAGGGTTTATAAGGCTTTGGAGTGTTTGGATTTTAAAGTAGGGCTTTTGGGTTCAGGGCTTTGACTTTACGGGTGGCGTGGTTTCTCATGTCGTCGTCATCCGTCGGGGACGTGGGTTTTATCAAACAGACATATACTTGTATGAATCAGTAAGAAAGCGCGTGCCATGCATGGCGCTTCAGGGTTTCAGGGGTCTAACTGCCCTAAACCCGAAACCCTAAACCCTGCTCAAAAAAGGGGGATCGAATTACTCGAGCCGACACCCCGCATTCTGAGGCGGAACCCTGGCAAAAGCACGTGAGTCTCAGAGCAAGCATCGGCATCTTCTAAGGACCTTGCAGAGCAGAGCGCAGAATGCAAGCGCCCAAAAGAAATGAGAATGGGTTCGGGTTTTAGGGTTTAGGTTTTAGGGTTTAGGGATTGCGCACTTCTGCTGAAGACATGACATCCA